GGGAAATCACAAGGCAAACACTGAGTCACCCAGGGCAACCAGGCAAGTCCTGCTCCCTATGGTGAGAAGGCCACTGGTGGGCACCAAATGTGGGGAGTGTGGTGATTCCCCATGGGGAATTCCCTCTGAGACAAGTTTCCAAAGGATGGGAAGTATCCAATGGGGAATATCAGGGTAAATACTTCAGTATTTATCCCACAAACACCATTAAAAGGTGTGGCAGGTCTCAACTACACGAAAGGGAATTCCCTCTGCTGGTGCAACATTATGTTTGGAAATGCAAGTTGGGAATTTACTGGGAGAAAATTCACCAGCATGGATGCCCTAAAGATGACAAGGATCCACATATCTTATCACAACGTATGCTCCACTCTCCTGGGCACAAGAGATTGTTCATCTTCCCCAAGCTGCAGAATAAGATTGGATCATGTAGACAGTAAAGGAAAAAAAAAAACTAAAAAACTCCAGCATTGAGGTTCCAAGTTGCTCTGATGCTGCTGGATCCCAATCCAGCTCAGTGGGAGTAGTTATGAAAAGAGGACTCATTCCCATCCCTGGAAGTGTCCAAGTTGGACAGGGCTTGGAGCAGCCTGGGACAGTGGAAGGTGACCCTGCCCATGGCAGGGGGTTGGATCTTTAGGGTCTCTTCCAACCCAAGCTATTCCATGATTCTGTGGTCCTGTGGTGCGCCTTTGGTGAGGCTGGAAGGTTAAAGCAGCAGATACTGGCCTGGCATGAGGAGTCAAAGACAGCAAAAACCTCTTTTTTCCCTGCCCTTGCGCAATCCAGAGCTGGACACGGGGAGTTTATCCCCAAAGCACATGGTGTGCACCAACTGTGCCACGGCTGACCCTGACGTGGGCAGCCCCAGGGAGCAGCAGAGACACAGCCCAGCCAGTCACAGCCGAAATTCAAAGGGTGTTCCAGCAACAAGCAAATCTCCATGCTCCAGGAATAGCATCCACATGAATATTCACCTGTCTTAAAATGACCTCTGAATCCACTGACCACAGCTCTCCTCTGGCTTTTCCAGAGAGCTCCTTAGTTACACAAACAGCATTTATCAGTTCACTGGGTGTTTTCTAAACCCAAGGCCTCCTATTTGTTATTCTTGGTTGTTTTTCTTTTCTCTTTATCTACCCGAGCAACGTTACCTTCAGGTCTGTTTTTCTTGCCTACAATTTTTGATCCACTTATAACTTTTAAAATAATATCTTTCATCATAAACTCAAAGGAAGAGTTTTCAAATAGTTTCCAAATTATAGCCCTGAGAGTTTGGGGACACATTTCCTGGCACTCTCATCACTATGCCAAAACACAGAAAACTACGAAATTGTGAAAATTGTGGTGTCTGCATTTGTCACAAAATGCATTTGTCACAAAATTCTAATTATTTATCTATACCTATATATTTAGCTCAGACTATTTTATATATCTATATATATCTATATATATATATCTACAGATAGATGGATAGACAAATAGATACACAAATATGAAATAAACTGAGCTAAAGAAATTTTCTGACCATGTTTTTAAGAGTTTGCTAAAAGTTCTCCAGATAAACATTGTCTAACAGCAAATATTGTGTTACTTTACAGCACAGAAGTCTCTTCTCTCCTGTCTTTCCTGCTTGAGCTCTTTGTTGGTCATTAACTGCCTGTGCTGAGTAGTTTGTTCCATTATCTAAACTCCAGATCTGTCCTCACCAGACAATAGCCAGCTCTCCTGGCAGATGAGTGCATTTTGGATCTGGTAGTCTCTATTCTTACAGCTTTACCTAATGGAAATTTGTAATGTGTAGTAATCCAACTTTCAAAAAAAAAAATATACAAGATGATGTAAGGAAAAATATTTAAATTTTTAGAAGAGCAAACACACTGCATAATCCTCTTCCAGCTTCTCCAATTCTCAAAGTTTTTACTTTGGAGCACAAGCCACCACTGAAACATATTGGAAGTTAAGTGACTTAAAAGGATTCAGTAATCTAAATACATCTCTGAGCGTTGTCCAAAATGTCTTACTTGGGACCAGCCAAAGTAACTAAAAATATGTCTGTTGACTTAAGCAAAGTTTGGATCAAAATCCTAATGTGTGACTGGTTTGCTTGTCTTGGTGTAAACCAGACCTTAACACTGAACATGTTAAAGGCACCTCCTGCATTTTTATCCTCTTTTCTTTCTCCTCAGCCTAGTACTGTCCATGGCTGGGGTTTGTGCTTCATTTGAGTGTGTTTCCTTTTTTCCTTTTGTGCAATGAAAAAGACACGGATTTATCCCACTTAATTTTGGATTCTTAGCAGAGGCTTCCAAGCCTGGAGCCCCAGCATGGCAAAGAGCAGCTGGGTGTCTCTGGAAGCAACTCAACAGATCCAGAGGTTGAAGTGCCTCTCTGTGTCCCTCATTCCCTGTGGATTAGAGAGCAGCCAGTGGAAATGGGTTCTCAGCTTGGTCCCCCAGTGCAGGACCTGCAGCCAGGCAGGAGAAACCCAAGTTCAGGCATGCAACCCCACCCAGTGTACACTGGGAGCCCTGGATGGCCACTCACCCCATCACACACTGCCCCCACCACATTCCTCCTGTAAAAAACACATTTTCAAGAGCACAGCAGGGTCAGAACAGAGGACAGACCCACACACATCCAGACCCTCTTCCCAAATATGCAGCAGTCTCTTTCTATTCCTTTTCTGACGGGGAATCCACACCTCGTTATCTACAAGAAGAGAGAGCAGCTAGCAGGGATGCCATCTCTGAGCCTCCCCTTCTTTTCCTCAGGTTAAAAAAACCATAATAAAACCATAATAAAAGCAACTCTGTGGTTTCTTCTTGCCAGCTCTTTGCTAGAGGAGGCACCTCAGTGCTGTGGATCCAGGATGTGCCCATTGAGATCAGCCCTGCACAAGCACAGTCCCTCTGCTGCTGCTCCCCCCTGCCTTGGGCTCAGACCCAGCTCCCCCTCAGCCCTCCCCAGGCACTCCAGGCTTGTCACTGGGAAGTGAATGGATTTGCTTTCCCTTCCTTTTCTTTCCTTTCCTCTCTCTCAAGGCAGAAGGACAGCTGCTGCCCCCACTATCCCCAGGGGGGTCTCCCCACTGCCCTTCCAGCCAGAACATTTGTAAGTGGATGTGAAAGAAAAAAGAAACAAATATCTGAATATTTTCCTGAATATTCAAATATTCAGATATTCAAATATTCAAACATTCGAATATTCAAATATTTCCTGAATTTACAAATATCTGAATATTTTCCACAACAAACAGTGAGACCAGAGCTTTTAGAAACTATATTCTCTGTTATTCCATTGCACAGAAATTGCTGATTGATTTGTAAAATTTATATGATGGAGACTTAACCCTGCCTGGTTTTGCCTTTGTAACTTGAGGAGTTACTGACTGAGGAGCAAAAACAGCTTCACCCCCCTTCACAAATGGCCAGGTTTAGAGCTTTGGTTAGAGGAAGGAACCAGTCATCAGGATTTTATGGAAGCAAAAGGGAAAAGCCAAGCTTAAGTGCTACCAAAACCAGACCTCCCGTGTTTAATGGCAGTTGGACCTCTCGAGGAAACCACTTGGGCAGACACCCTGTCCCATGTGGTTGAGCTGTTCCCTCTGTCAGTGGTTTCAGAGGAAAAGATCAAGTATCACACTCGCAGCCAGGGCCTTCTGGAGTCAATAAAATTATTTGCTCTTCTTCCCCAAAATGTTTTGAGTTAGTCCATCAAAATTTCCGAAGCGCTGGCAGGACGGAAGACCTGCAGGCACCAGGAGAGAGGGAGGTGAGCACCCAATTCATGAGGGTGAATGACACTGAGCTGCCCAGGAATCACCTTAATATCAGATTTTACTCTGTTTTGAAAACTTGACTTGTGTTCTGAATTAATTGTAATGTCAAATTACAGTATGCAAAACCATATTGCTGTTTTGCCTGAGTTATTTCAGAAGAGATGTTGCATTTGCAGTTTTATGTCCCAAATACCCTTGTGACTACAAATGGGCAGAAGATTTCAAATTAGCTCAATTTACAAACTGCAGTCAAGAATATTTTGAAAGAAAGAGGCCAAGGAAAATATGTAAAATACTTGTTCTTAAGAGATCAGGTCAAGTAAGTGACCAGAAAGAATTTCCATTTATAGCACTGTGCGTCCTGCAGTGGCTGTAGCTCTGCCTCTGACAGTGGGATGATTTCAAGTTTAGAAGTGTATTTATCCTTTTTTCTCTCCTATTATTCTGCTACAAAAACAGCAAAATGACATTTTGAGGAGGAGGAGTTGTGGCCAGGCAGTTTTTAGGCAGAGTGATGTGAGCATCTGCCTGGGAGAGAGCTGGAACCTGCACCCCAGTTACCTGTAGCTGCTTTACATTTTCCTCCAGTTTACACATGAGAATTCAGGATTTGTCCAATTTTTGCCCAGAAATGCACAGAAAGGGCAGCTGGGATTCTGCCAGGCAGGATCTGAGTGTTCTGCCTAAAGCAACAGGTACTGCTCACACCCTTGGGGTTGGGATTTCTCCTGCTGCACATCTCTCTATGCTCCCATAGGTTTTCACTGCAGTCATCACCAGTATACACAAACCATTAATTAAGTACTGAAAATTAATCACACTCACAGAAGCCAAAACAACACTGCTGTATGCACATTAATCAACCTCAGAGACCCTCAGAGACCCTCAGAACCACTAAAGGTCATAAAACTGCCAGTGATTTCAGCATTAAATTGGCATCAAAAGCCACCTTGCAGCAACTTGGGTGTACAAAACTGAACACAAGCAAAACTGATCATGACCAGAATGTCCTAAAGCTCCAAAATGAGGGTGGGGAGGAAGGACCATCCCTATGACATCCTGGTTATCAGTCAGGACTGGATCCTCTCCTACAATAAACAGTCAAGCTCATTGAGGTCACCAGCACCAACAGAACCCCCACATCTTTAGTAAATTACAGCTGCTACATTTCTACTCTAAAAAATAGAAAATAAAAGAGGAATTCAAAGTTTCTACTTACAGCATTAAGCCCCAGAGAGTTTCCTGGGAGAGAGGAGGTGACTCCTGAGAGGATGGCAGTGGCCACCACTGCCCCCAGGCACTGGGCGAGGATGTACATGAGCGCCTTGAAGATGCTGATCTGGCAGCTGAGCAGCAGCCCCAGGGTGACAGCTGGGTTCAGGTGCGCCCCACTGATGTGGCCCACGCTCTGAGCCATGGTAGCAATGGATAACCCAAAAGCCAGAGAAACCTTCACGTTGTCCTGAGACCTCGTTGATGTTTTGTTGGCCACCACGGGGAACTGGAAGCCCAGAGCGGAGCCAATGCTGATAAAAATGAAAAGGCTCATGGCCAGGAACTCAGCCACCACTGCCCTCCAGAATATTTTCTTTCTGAATTCGCTAGCCATCTTTCCTCTTTCTCTCTCTCTCTCTCTCCCCTCCTCACTTTCCCTTCTCCCTCTCTCCCTTCCTTTGCCTGATATTTTCCCTTAGAGGTCTGAAGAGAAATCTGGAGGAAAAATACAGTCCTTGGATTATTTATAGGGCTTTGGGTGGTCTGTAGGAGGGAAGGGGTGTTGCACAAAAGGAGGAAAGAACATCTACATAGATGCTGACTGCTAGATTGATGTAAGACACTGTTTGCCTGCCAAAGTTTTTTTCTTCCCTTTTTTTTTTGTTTTTTTTTCTTTCCTTTTCCCCTCCCTTAACGGCGTTCGATCTCTGCCGCCGTTTTTGAGAGGCTTTTCAAAATTCTTGGAAAAATCTTTAGGAGAGCCTTAGGAATTTCAGCCTCACTTCTTTAACTCCTGTGTCTTCTTTCAGCGTGTGGATATCGGGATGAAAGCTTTGATGGGATTTCTGTCTGGAGCTGAAACAGAAAGCAAAGTTATCAGACCAGGCTGGTAAGTTATTCACGCTCAGCTTCAGCGGCAGCAGACAACAGCTGAAAGTAGTAAATAAGACTGACAGCTAAATCCACACTCCAGAGGCTTCAGTAGCTCTGTTTCTTTTGGAAAAAAAAAAAATGTAGAAATGTCCCTTCTGCTGGCTCTGTGGACTCGGAGATGTTTTGGATGCCAAGTCTGGCGGCTGTATGGACACTCTTGGATTTACACAGCTCACACGAGCTGGTGCTCACTCGTGAGGGATCATTTTTAATCTCTGTGTAAATCTGCCACAACACTGTGGTAAGCTGGAAGCTTTAAATGCATGTAATTTGGATGCCAAGGATGATTTTTTTTTTTTAATTTATTGTTTTAAATTTATGTCATTTCTTCACTTTTCTGCTTCCAAGCGTGGAGGCATCTTGGGGTTTCCCCAGCCTCATTGGAAGGAAAAAAGCCAATTTGGGGGCTCCCTAGCCTAGGTCCCATCTCTCTCCACCCTGCTGAAGGTCAGCTCAGCTGTCCTGGCTGTCTCCAGGGAGACTCTGCTGCTGCTGAGCCCCAGGACTGGCCAGACAGAGGGGACAGCAAGGGAGAAGGGAAATTACATGCTTGGTTTTGCAGACAAAATGAACCTCCCGGCAGTGCCAGAGCCTCTCGGAGCAAAAGGTCCCAGTGCCTGGCTTTGCCTCGGCAGGGCTGGGACACACGGCTCGGATTAACCCCTGAGCTCTCAGATCCCTGCCTGCTCTGCAGCTGGGAGTGCCTCCAGCTGGAAATTCCGGGGTCTGCTCTGACTTCAAACCAAGGAAAATCTGTTCCAGAGGGAGGAGGCAATTCCCCAGGCACAACTCCTGAAGGATGGGTGTTTAAAAGCAGCCTGCTTCTCTGCCTCCTCTTTTTTCTCTTCTTTCTTTAATGCGCTGGTAACGTCTTCTGAATTGTTTTTAAATTAATTCAAGGCTTTATTCATGGGGACAATATGCCAGGAAGAAGGAAAAAATTGAGCACACACCTGGATAGTATTAGACAGCCAATAAGGGGGGTTTTGAAATATATTTGGTTTTCAAAAGATGATTCAGTGACAGAGCTGAAAACAGTTTCAATAAAAGCCCAGATGTCTGCAGCTTGACATACCCAAGTTCTTATTCTTTCTAGGCATCAGGTGTTCTTGATTTTTCACATAGCCAATTTTATTTCCTTTTTATTTTATGATACACTTACACAACAGGACTGCACCAGTGAACAAGGAAAAAGTAAAGAGTGGGACTTCAATGAGGAACAAAGTGACAGACAAATCAAAAATCAAATTTTGCCAAATAGTGGAATGCAGTGGAATTTTAATATAAGATACAGTTGATTGTAGTTGTATCCTGTCCAGTGGAACTTTTTATTTACTGCAAACACTATCTGAGACAAAGATCTCCAGTGATCAGCTTCCCTGGTCTTTTCAAGAGAGTGCCCAAGACCCAGGCAGGACATGCATCACACACCTCAGGGAAGTGAGACAGCAGAGCTCTGTGAATGGTTTGCAAGAGTTTCCATGTGTCCCAAACTGGCCTCTGTGAGACGGAGCTGCCCAGATAGCCACCCTTGTCCGCAGGAAACTCCCTCTTTACTCACCTCTTCCTACAATTAGGAACTGGATGACCAAGCCACCTCTGTATCAGTACTGATAAGGTGAGGAAGAACCCCTCCAAGGAAAGCTTTCAGAAGGTGGGAAAATAGGCTGGGGAAGTATTGCAAAATGCTTCCCTGATTTCTGCAGTCTCCTCTTGGTATCCCTGACTGGCCTGTGCCACAGACAGGACCCCAGGAAAGCCAGACCTTTATGTGAGGAACACAAACATTAAATGCACGTCAAGAGGAGAAGGTTGGGCACCACCTTGGTGTTGAACCCATTGGCCACCTCACACTTGCATTTTTTGGGACTCTCCATTTGTCTTTTCATAAATGTTACCAGCCTCTCTTGTTATATTTTAGTACTTTTGTGCCACAGTAAATCAACAAAGCGGTCATTCAGACAGAAAGGAAAAAAAAATCTGAAGTGAATTAAAGACAACCACAGGGAATGCCCACAAATAAAAGAGAAGAGACAGACTTTTCCTGTACATAGAAAAACCACCAAGTGAGGAAACAGAAAGGGATGGCAACGAAAGAACAAAAGTTCTGCACAAATAGAGGGAATTATGGACAAATTAAATTATACAACTCTGTGAGAGTAATAAGGAAAAAGGGGAGAGAAAATGTGAGTAGAGAAAGCACACATCAGTTGGACTTCTTCAGAAATGTCCACCACAACACAAATCTAACTGGTGTCTATGTCACTTTTCCAAAAACCAAGCTCCATCCCATGTTACTCAGGCTGATGGCAAAGACCCTGGAGTTTGGTAAAGTAAAAAAAAGTACACTCAGACCCCAAAACCACCAGAAGCCCCAAAAAAGGGCAAAATCCAATTTTCTGCATATCAGATAAGCTGGGGTTTGTGCAGATAGCTTTTCTGGGCACGGTTTTGACTTATCCATCACACTTGAAGGTTGTGGTGGTATAAGTTGTTGGGTTTTTTGTGTTTGGATTGAAGGCACTTGAGACGGTAGTTTATGTTTGGACTCAGGTGTTTATTATTTTTTTTAGAAAAATAGTTTTACTTCTGTGACTTTGGTAGCTTTTCATTAGAAGGCACAAAATGGCCAACAATCTCTTGTTCCAAGGTCTTTTAAGAATAAACTATCCAATTAAGAACTGACGCCCAGATTATTTTCTTTTTAAACTCAATAACTAATTTTAAAGACCCCACAATGCAGACTTTTCCGCCCAATTTCAAAATGCCACCCAAACCCAAGAAGAAGAAGGAAGAAGAAGCATGAAGAAGAAACCCAGGACAACACCCTGTGCCTTTTATCTTGTTTCCATCCACAACACACTAAAAATGCTGAAATCTCAATTTCTCACCAAGTGACACACCTACACTACTTCACAAAGGTGAAGTTGGGATTTTTCTAGAAATAGAGATGATTGCCAAACTAAAGTCCGTGTTTAGGACAGGCAATTAAGAACAGATCTGTTGGAAACAAGAAAAAGGAGTTTTTTATCTGAGGGGTGTTTCTTCACATTAGACTTATACCAGAGTATTCCCAACCTCTCTTTGATTTAGTTACACTAGAGACAGCTGAGTGAAAAATCAAGCTCACAGGAATGGGTTTTTCATTGCCAAGATCTCAGGGCTGACTCCTTTTTTGTGTGAAACAAATCCAATTTTGGAGGGCTGAAGCACAAATGTCCCTCAACATTTCATTCAGAAAACAAATGTACTTGTTGAAGTGTAGGCTTTGTTCTGGGATCCCACCCATCAGATTGTGCAGGATCTCTGCTTTTTGAGCAAGAAACAAATGTCAGTAACTTCAAATTTGATCTTAGCTAACATGAAATCTCAGGGAATTTCCCTCTTAGGTGAAGGAACAGTCAAAGGCTAAGGGCAGAAGGAAGGAACATAAGTCCAGCAGTCAAATGATTGGAAGAACCAGGGGAAGTTCAGCAAAATGCAATTACTCATCTTTTGAGAAGAATTAGTTATGCTGTGACCCTGCCAGATGAGTCTTTTAGCAGGGAAGCAGCAGTTCTGCGAAAGCTTCTTTACCTCCAGTTTCAGAGATGACACAAATTCCCACTTCTGCCCATGGGCTTTCATCCCTCTGGGCCATCACCACCCTCATCACCACGGAGGACAGCAAAGCCATGGAGCAGGGAGGAGCGAGGGAATCCATGTATCCTGCCTAAAACATCTCAGAAATGGGGGGGATTTGAGCACTGATGGGTGGAATGAAAACATACAGAAAGTTGTAGTTCACAGGTGGAGTCTCCTGTAAGAATAACACAAACTTCAACAGATTTGCACCAACACTCGGGAGCTGCTTCCTGGGCTCAAATCACTTTTTGGATAGAAGCAGAACCCCTCCATACTGCTGATGTAAAAAGTACAGGGTGGAAATTGAGATAAGGTAAAGATGTGTGGAGATTTCTCTGCAGCAGCTGCCTGATCACAACCAACACCTGTCAGTGGGAGCAAACTGGGAGAGGTTTTAGACTGAATCCCTGATTTAACACTTCGAAATCTGGGGAGGACGGGATATTTCACACACTTCCCCCTCTCCAGAGGATTCACTACCAGCCAGTCTCAGCACCCACGTGTGCTCCATCTGCCAGCTGATGAAAATTCTCTCCTGAGCTGCCCAGCTGGATTTGCTTCCTGAGTGATGATCCAATTTGGTTTTGATTTAGTCTCAACCCTGTCAGGGGTGTCAGAGACATGAGAGGGGAGGAAGAGAGGGAAAGAGCTCACTGGTGCCACTTGCAGGGGGCAGCCAGGAGTGGGGGAAGCCTCATCCCTGGGGAGGCTTGGCCTGGCAATATTTCACATGGGGCAGTCAGTAGGAGACACTGTGAAGGGTCTTCTCCAACCAGGTCATGAAAAGGTCTTTGGTGGCATCAAAGGATGGGTCTTTGGTTCCATCAATGGGTGGCAAAGAAAGGTTGGACTGGGCCAATGGTCTCTGCTGTCACTGGGGCTTGCTGCTGTTTTTTGGCCCATTTTCTCCTTCCTTTGCCCTG